CTTGCCATTTCTGGTAAAAAGCAAACATTAGTCCACAACCTAATTTGATTCAGGTTAATTACATAGATATGGCTTTTAATCTATGTTCCATTTCCATTTGTTCATCTCCGAGATTTCCCTCCTATCTCAATGACGGAGATAGCGACATATGCCTTTGGAAATATGGGAAATCACATAGGGTGCATGGAGCCAACTGTTTCAGCTGCATAACCCCACCCCCTTTCTGTGAATGATCATATCCACTCATCGTATGAACTTTCCCTTTAGCCTCTGTCATACAAGGTTCATTGCCATTTTAAGTTAAACCTTTCTGTCCAGTGAGTGCTCACCCATCATATTCGTGAACGCCAAGGTACCGTGAGAGAGTCTTCCATTTTAGGATAGGCCCCTCCCATATCAGTCTATTACGCCCCTATCATCTTATGAAACATTCCAACAGATTCAACAGCACTTGGATAGCCCAATTTTATGGTGCGTCTCCTCATAACTGAAGGACCCATCTTCATGCTAATGACGGAAGGTCTTTAGAGAGTTCATCATATGAATCTCCCTATCACATGCACTCATATTTCAGAAGGGAACAAAATTACACCCTAGTTTAATTTAGGTCAAACCAAAGTGGCTTCCACTAACTTTCATAAAGCCAGATTTCTAGTGGACCCTAAACGGCTAGGGTTCTGTACGAATCCTTTTCAGGGGTATGGGGCCCACCACTGAGGGAGGTCATCAAATGACCCATAGGGACACCATGGCAATGATGTGCATTCAGCCATGGTGTGTGCAAGAGCCACTATCATATTTGCATGGGCCAAGTACTTATGGCCCATGTACGTTGCACATCACACATCCATACATCACATGCAATGATAGAATTGATCCAATCAATTAATATCTGTAAAGTCCATTATTAAAGCCCATTTTAATCCATAATATTACTGATTAATATTATCTAAGTATATGGGCTGAATAGGCTTAAGCAGTTCGGCTCATATAGCTTTTCTGCAATTAGTGGGCTTTAACAGTTTTAACTCTTTAAAACTGGCCTTTACAGGTGTGGGCCGAATTAAATCTCATAATTAACCATCAATCCCTTGACCAAAAAGTGAGAAATTAGGGTTGACATCAGCCTCCATCGAACCACAGGTTCGGTCCAACCAGTTTGGACCAATCTGGTTTGAATGGGTCTAGGGTTTGATTTTTAATTAAAGAATTAATTCAAAAAAATGATCTGAAATTAAATTTACTGATTAAAGAATAAACAAGAATCAGTAACAAGGTTGTTTGCACATCTCAAACCTGCAAAACAATCGTTAGATCACTAGTTGCAGTTTCATAAACTGCAAATCGTAGATTGTGATTTCTCCTTCTACGAATTCTCCTTCTCCAGCGCATCCAGCTTTGATCTTGGAATAAAATAAATAGAAAAAACCCTAATTTTTTTATTAATATTACATCAGATCGAATACCTATACATTCAGTCTAAAATTAAAAAAAAATAATAATAATTAATTACAGACCAGAATGTAAAAATCTACAAATCGTAGAAATCCTGCGCCAATAAAGATTTCGATCTCCTTTGTACGAACAACCCATAAATCAAGAAAATCATAAAGAACAATTATAAATATATTCTAGATTTATAAAAAATTAATTTCAAATCATTTTCCCTATAACTAGGAACCGATTTCCCAAAAAAACCCTAATCTCTGCAAATCGGGTAGAACACCTTCTGCCCATTTGCGCAGATTCAGGTCTAGTCTATTTCGGTTTAAGATTTGAACCATGGCTCTGATACCACTGAAGGGATGAAAGATCCATCATATAGATGGCTGAACCCTACAGGTAGGTTGGGCGAAACTTCAAAAATTTCTCTTTCTCCCATCTGGGAATCACATTCCCTATTTAAGAAAATTTGCATTTTCAATGATCAATCTTGAACCAAGAAGCAGACCAGATCTGAAACTAATAGGTAGGAGAGGAATATACCTGATACAGAGTAGCAGTAACTCCCAATGAAAGTGTTCACGCCCAAAGAAATTTCCAAAGACTGCTTCCACTGAAGATGACACAATATAGGGTGGAGCAGAATCAGTAGTGTTCTTCCCAAGAACCGAACCATTCAGCAAGAATTCGATGGAGGCTGTGAGAACGACTTCAGATCAGCCTTTCTCCAAAGACTGACATCAAGAACTTTTCTTGATCGCTCCTACAAGAATGGAGATCAAACTGGCAATTGGCGGCAACTAGAGGAGAACGCAGGGAGAAGATGGCGCAGTCACACTGTTGCTATCTTCTCTCTGTGTGATCTAAGATTTGATGTCTGGGGTTTTGAGATGTTCTGAATGGTTCACCCCCTCCTCCTTTTATAGACTTAAAGAGATCAGCTCCTAATCCCATTAGGAATTCCTAATTCAGATCCTTATTTGAATCTGGACTCTCTTTAAGTGATAAGGATAAATCCTTATCTTATCTGCAGATTAGATCAACTCTCCTGATCTGATTAAAAGGTTTCCAGATCCAAATCTCTATTTGGATCTAGACTCTTTGAGTGGATAGGGATAGCTCCCTATCCTATCTACTAATCCAAATCCCAGATCTGCCCTTGTTTAACTAATCATATTAGACCAATTCGAAATGGGCTTTAGGCCCAATAAGTTCATGTGCTCAGTAACCCTCCAAACTGCTGCCTAGTTGGGCTTCTTTGTATGGCGTGGAACCCAAACATTGATCTACACATCAACCACATGGGTTCAGCCCATCCTTTGCTACAAGGCCTGGCCGAATACACTGTTATGGACTGTGAACCCTTGAGTCCATCACCATGGGCTCTTAATGGGCTCAAAATATAAATATATTTTGCAAAACAAATTTCAACGATTGAAATCGGCTGTCGACAGTCTTGGTTTCCATCAGAAAGAGTGCATCCCCGATCATTACCTTTGTCCGACAAAGGGGCTGATCCTGTCACTATGATCACCCACTCAAATGAATTCTCAGATTGTCCCAACATACCCAGGTTTTGACCCCCTCTAAGGATCTCACTGGTTGGCATATAAAAAACAGCCCAATCCGACACTTAGTGTAGTATCATAATCGAGTCTAGGGGTTAGGTGTAACTTTCCACTTTTGCCTATCAATCTCAAAGGTACAGGGCAATACTGAAAACCTGGTCCGATTCAGGATTTCAAGCAAACCTACACTACATGTACCTCGCGTTTCACCTTGGCAGTTGAGACAGGTTACCCCAATCAACTTGGCGCACATCAGTGTCAACCTTGACAGGATAAATCTCCCCAGAATTATCCAACGGTTATGAACATTCTAAATTAACACGAGTTTCATATATATTCAATTTAAGGATATTACACAGAAAAACACCACAATAAGATGAATCAAATATGTACTTTATTCATTTACATTAAATGTCATTGGAGATAAGATCATACACTGCCTAACATCAACCACATTCGGGCTTAGGTGTGCAACTATTAGAGGGTTGTCTTCTTCTCCAAAATTGTATTTATAAATACTTCAGCCACTTAATGAAATAACACTTTCTTCTTCTCGAATTGTTGCTCTGTTCGGCGTGAACCAAATTTATAACCATGCTCATACAACAAAATTCTTTGAGAGAAGATACTATTCTTGTTTTGACTTTGTTTCCCGCTATCATGATTAGAAGTCTTGCAAGACTTTTGTTCCATCTCTGTTGATATTTGTGGCTTCTGATTCGCAGTCTCCGGAATCTGCCGTGTTTAGGAATCCAATGACTGAAATCGTCTTAGCTTTTGTCGGATCGGAGCGGGACACACAATTCCATCCTTTATTCCTCTTTCCTCTCCACAGTGGCGTTGATGTTGTTTACTTTAACCTTTTCTTCGAAACACATCCCCCAGATTTTACTTTTTCTTTAACCAGATAGGTTTCAGAATGAAAGCTTTTAATAACATTTATCATCAAATGATTTCTCATCACAATTCACAAACCATGCTTTTCAAGTTTAATCCTGAAACCAAAAGTTTCGTACATGGTAATGACAACAGTAATCAGATTATAAAATGTAATGGCAAACAGAAACAATCCATAAATTAGGGGAGGACGATGATTCCAAAGTTAGGGAGTGAATCAATGAAGGGATTTTGTTGATCCTTGATAGGACCAATGGCAATGTACGACACGAATTGGAGGTTTTGCAGGTTGATATGCACAAGCATTGGGAGTGCAGGCCGTAAGGGTAATGGCCTCATCCTGGGCCATTGGCCCCTGCCTGCGGACATCGTAGTGACTGCGCACTGCACATTTTATTGGCTTACATGGCAATGAAGATGGCACTGGGCTTGCTTGCAGGGGCAGCGGAGGGGCCAAAGGGCTGTTCTTCTGAAAAGGCAGTTGAAGCAGTTGTACGGGACGGGAAAGACAAGGCAACAGAAGCTTACAACCAAGCCATAGAAGAGCTCTGTGATGCCTACACCACCGCCAAGGACTCTGCGAGTAAGCCGGCCAAGGCCAACTACGAGGCCGCCAAGGAAAAGATGTCTGATGCAACTGGAAATTTAGGAGACATTAAAAGGAATCTCGGCGAGCTGTGAGTCAACGGGTCATTGCTGCTGTTGTTGTTCTCGCCTTCTCGGAGGCTTTCTTCCATGTCGAGAAACAAGTGTTGGACAAACAAAACTGCTGAAATACTGAGAGAGAGAGAGGAAAAAACCTTGAATTTGTCAATTTTAAGTTTTTAGGTCAAAATATGGCTTGACATCTCCTAACTTCTAATCTTTGAATAAATAAATAAACAAATGCTCAACTTGTGCCCAAAGCAACATATATTTTAATACACAATGGTCCCTACGGAGTACAGGCTACAGCGCCTCAAAAATCAAAAGTCTCCGGTGAAATGATAGAAAGAAAGACAAAAGACAAGCAATAGCCGATAAACCAGTGGATTGAGTGGTACTGCACTCCAACAAAGCACCAGTAAAACAAACTCTGGACCTTGAGGCCAATCAATTAGAATGCAAGAATAAATGATCTCTTGTTGCTTTTTGTGGGATTTTATGGTCGTATAAGACGTCACGGCCGTCTGCAGGCACAAATCCATGCTCTTCATCCAAGCGAAGACTCTTGACCACTCCATTCAAAGCAACCAAACAGAACCTCCTGGAACGAGTCCCCAGTCCCAACGGAGGAGAACTTGGACTGATATCGAGTGACATCCCAAGAGCCCTAGAGAACTCACCCTGCCCGTCAGATAACATCATGATCGGCTTATCCCCTCCAGCCTCCAGATGTTCCCCCCACGCCTTCATCACGAAGACGTCGTTCATGGCAACACACGTGACCACATCGGCGTTCTTCTCCTCGGCCGCTCGAACGAACCGAGTGCAACTCGGTGAGAACGCGGCGGAGACCCCGATGACAACGACTTTCTTCCCTTTGGCGAGAGTCGGAACGGCAACGGTGTGGAGCTTGTTGTTTCGATCCAGGTAAGAGAGGGTGACATTTGGGAGTTTGTCGCCCACGGAGATGAATGCGGCGGGCCGTTGGGTTATATGATGGCCAGGACGGAAGGTCACGAAGTGAAGGGGTCGTGGACCGGGGCCGCCGTACAGGCTTAGGAGGGAAGATTTCTTGGAGCGAGGAAGGGCTGCGTGAGGATTCCACGCCGCCGATATGGGCTGAGGCGACATGGAAGCAGCGAAGAGTGCTGGGCTTAAAGATGATGACGATGACGAAGAAGAAGAAAACGAGGACGATGAAACCGGAAGAGTGGCGAACGTTGCCGCTATATTGTTCACAGAGGTAGCCATGAGAGAGATAAGAGCAGCTAGCTTGGGGTTGCAACGATTGCAGAGGTACCGAGGACTAGAGAGGGCACGGCGCCGCGTCCTGGTCGTACGAGTTTGTTGCTTATATATAAAGGAACGTATTATTAATGAGAGAGAAAATGAAGAAAAGGTTGTGTTTTCGTTTTTTCCGGGGAGGAGAGAAGTCTTCCTTATTTATCTTGTTGTAGGTGTCTAGAGGGTCCCGTACTAAAACTTAAAGCCCGTCATCTCTCTCTCTCGAAACATCTTAATTCTCAGCATAGTCAAGTAATTATTTGGTATGGGACTGTGAGTCCGGGTACTGATTACTGAAGATGAGCATGGATATAAAGCTGGAGAAGAAGATTTGCATTTTCGTTCTGGCCTACCCGTGTCAATGGTAGCTTTGGGTCGAGTCTCAGATCAAACTGGTCAATTAAACGGTTGGGCCAAGATCTTGTTGTTTGGTGATCTGGTCCGTCACAAAAATGTTGTTTTTAGGTTTTTAACTACACAGTATAAAATCTGAGGCTGAGTTCCCAAAATGGACTGGTGGTGGGTTAGAATATTTAATGCACTAATGAAGACCTTCTACCTTCTAAAAAAGAAAGCAAGGCCAAAAATGGAAATTTGCTGTAGGTCAAATAGAAATTTCTAAGCAACCATGAATGCAATAGCCAATAAGAGAAAAAAATGGCAAAACATTGTAGGGGGTGTAGTCCAGATTGATGGATATTCCAAGATAGTGATCAAAAGCCTACGGGGGCAAAAAAAAAACATAGAACATAGCCAACCTTATTTCAACATGGTGAGAGAGGTCAATGTTCTGACTTAAATAAATATTTTCACATCTATAGAAAAAGCAAATCGGAAGACCAACTGAATGGCAAAATAGGAGAGAATAATTCTAGAGTCCAATTCTATGATGTAGCCCCTTTTTTTTCCAATTTAAGTACCCCAAAAAAGTAGAGATTATTACAATTGGAATTTAAGACTATTTGGTTTATTCTGAATATTCCACTGCCAATTAAATAAATATAACAAATAAGAAAGGAGTAAGAAAAAAGAAGGGTTTATGACATGAAAAGGGCACTAGTTATCTAGGGTTCGTATGCTAGAAGTTGCCACTTTTTTTACTGTCTGTCCAGTCAAATTTTATGCTTTTGGGAGGTGTTTATTGATCCCTATCAGTTGCATGACTGGTTTCAGGGAGATTTGTTCTTTTAATGATCATTCTGGGAATAATGAGTTGCAAAATTTTGAGAGAGGATGTTTTCTCTGATTCAATTGTAATAGGGAGTTCAAAAAAAAAAACTTCTCTTGTCTAAAATTTCAATGAAGTTAAATAACCAGCATTGCCCTTTATTTTGAGTGCACTAAGAGAAGTTTATAACATCATACATTCAGCAAACCTTCCCTGCAGGAAACTGCCAAATTGCAAAGTGGCTGACTTAGTTGACCTCTCCTACAAAACTTGAGCTGATTTCATGGTTGAGCTGATTTCATGGCTAAAACTCTTAGAAGTAATCTGTCAATGGAATGGTATGTGGAATTTAACTAGGAGGTACTGTCATAGACTCCACTTTTTTGGCGTGACCTCTTGCTCTTTCTAACAAGCATCCTAGGTATCTGTTATGGTCCCGCGCGTAGGATCCTGTCACGGGTCGGCCTACGGTGCAAAAGCCCTGCTTTTCCTTACGCCTTCCCTTGCGTGCAGATCCTATTGTGGCAATCGCGTGGGTGATTTGTCCAAGAGATCACCCAAACTCTCCTAATGGGTGATTTATCCAAGAGATCACCTGAACTCTCCTTACTCTCTTTCTTGATTGCGAAAACTAAATCCTTTATTTCAATTCGTAGCTCCTTAAATAGGAGATTACAGA